TTTCGGAATAGTACCTGATAACCACACTTATATTCAAATCAGTCAATAAACCAATAACATCGACGTCACACAACAACGTCGCACCTTTTCTCTGAAATAGTGGAAAGACTCTTATCAGCTGTACTGTAACATTTTTAGAGATGATGACGATAGTTAACCACATGTTTTAACGTATGGAACGGGAGTATTTTATCTCTATTAAAAAACTAGTATTTTTTATAATAACACATAACATAACATCATGCCTTTTGCACATTACGGCACTTAATGCCACTGTACAATGTAACACCCACTTTTCACTATTTATGTTATGAGACCCATGTAATAGGGGGTGAGCCTATTGCCATTTACCGGGCACATTTCCAGACTCCGTGCTACTACTGAGATTTTTAAAAACCCATTAATACTTTGCCCGACCCGGGAATCCAACCCGTACCCCTAACCTGGCAGTCGCACTTTCGACCACGAGCACTTTATGCACTTTAAGCCGTATTACGAATATTACGAAAACCTACAATTTATACAACATAAACATATTTCAAACTAAAATTAATTAAAATTAATATTCTTAATATAATTTTAATTTATTTATTTATTTCGGACAATTTAAATCCATTTGGTTAGTAAACAAACTAGTGTTAGTACTTAAAATTACCAGTTATAATTAAACATGACTATCTTACGCATATAATACCCCTCTTTAAAAAATAACATCCTGTGGCGTTTTAAGCTATAACCCTCAAATAGTTCCGATGTCACAATTTAACGACAATTTTATAGTCCATCAAATACCTGGACAACGATATTAAACATCTTCATTAACAAACAAATTGAATTATCAACATGGAATCGAATATTTAAAAAATCGATCATTACAATCGAATGATTGATCATTAACATAAATTCTTTAACGCCCAAGCACGAGTATCGAATAAAATGTGATATTTGACTCGGAATGGTCCCAGCGTCCGCGTCGTCAGCTTCCGAAATTCCATTGATTATCTCGTTTCGCCACGGAATGGTGATCGAGTTCCGAGAATTTGTTGAAAGGTTTTTTATTCCACAAAGATATCAAAGCGATGGTTTTATTATAAAGCGATGGCTACTGATAGTTGTCAAGTTAAATAAAAATAACTTGGGAGATAAGACCAAAGATGAATTTTGTTACAAGTTATGACGTGGATTCCAGTGATTGTGTTATTAGTATAGTATTGACTAAACATAACATAACATCATGCCTTTCATATCCGAAGGAGTAGACAGAGGTACGCATTACGGCCCTTAATGCCACTGTACAATGAAACACCCATTTTTCTCCATTTATGTTATGAGTTCTATGTAATAAGGGGTGATCCTATTGCCATATACCAGGCACAATTTCAGACTCCGTGCTACTACTGAATTTTTTTTATATTTAAAAACCCAGTAATACTTTGCCTGACTAACCCGCGAGCTGAGATCCCTAGCCCGACAGTCGCACTTGCGACCATTCAGCCAACGAGGCAGTCTAGTATTGACTACTGCAACTAAAGGACACTATCCTGCTTGATTGAACCCGATTTATAACTTTCATGTCTTGTACAAATGATTATTTTATTTGATAAGATGCTTATAATTTGAAGAAACAAAAGCAGAACTTTTTTACTGATATCTCTCATTTGAAAATTTCTAAAGGATCAAAATGGAATGGATTGGATGAGATCTTAAACAACAACCTTCGAATAGCTCCAGGTAAACGTAGGATATTTAAAAACTTCACATTAAATTGAAGCTAACAGTTTACTACTAAGATATCTAGTAAAGATTTGGATTGAAAATGACGTGAACAGAAAAGGGCAGTCGGCAGATTAATATCCAGCAACTGATAAATGCCACGAACCTTTAATGTCATGTGGTAGACACGACACGTCTCGTTCACAACAAACTTGGAATACCTAACTTCTCAATCAACAAGAAAATACAAAGAACAACGATAAAACTGTATCTTTACATAGTAGTCAAAGCGCGATAAGAAAAATATGTAAGAAGGAATACCTACATGAAGCTATGAATAAAATACTTAAAACACACTGTAGTTTAATAAACTCCCCATACAAAAACACCTGGGACAAGAAAAGATTTGTTATCACAAGCACGGCACGAACAATGTAACAACAATAAGCTTCCACAGCTATTCAAGCTGACTAAAAACAAAAGAAAGGGACTGGAAGACAGTTACTGACATGCTTGTAGCTAAGGTTACCAGTCAACGTTAGTAACAAAGTGTATTTAAATTCAATTTTCATTCAATCTGCAATAGAGAAGACGGAACATGTTAGAAACGGTGAAAGCTTAATGTGATTCGCATAAATAGAATTTCATGTTGGACACGTATACCTATCCGTCTAGTCTAGACTTTAGATGGAACCACAAATAGATTCACATAAACTAGTTATTTATGAAGATTGCAACACGCAGGATCGTGATGACATGAGGATCGTAAGGAAATGTGGCTGATCAGGGTCATAATAAAATTGTCGAAGCTGCATTGAATTTATTTGAACGGTCGCAAATGCTAATAAGGGTGGGAAAAGTCTGAGGCATAAAGATCGAATACTTATTCCTATAACGAATTCAGTCAGTTTATGATTTAAAGAAGGACATACCAGGCAGTAATTTTCCAAGGTTTTTATGTAAACTGAGCAAAATTGCATGTTATTACAATAAAATCTTTGACTTGATTCTTTTAAGTACCTATAAATACGAAACATGCTGCACTACAACCAACAAATTTCCCGTGCAAATATGAAACAAAAAGCTCTCATCATCAACTACTTTATAAACTATTTCTGATAAGAAACACTTTATCATTCTCTAACAACAAAAAAAAACACAATAAATTACGAACCTTCGTAAAAACCCAAACAAACCATTTCTAACATAGAAGCTGAAAGGAAATCACGTAAGATAACTCCAATGGTTGTACAATGTACTGTGTTCATCGTCACCAGGCCATCTACATGTCCTGCACACGCGTGGGAAACCGCCCGTTACTTACAAGCTACCTACCAGATGTTGTGTCCGATACTACTCTAGCCAATACCATGTAAACAAACCGTAAACAACAAAGTGAGCGAATAAAAGACGATAATAATGTCTAAGCCATTGAGGAAATTACAAAAGAATTCCAAGTTAGAATTCGATGATAACGAATAGATAGATGAGAGCATGTTCTCTAGTCCAGATTAAAAAACGATTATTCAATATGACATCAAAAGTCAAGACGAATACACACTATTAAATACAACATTTGCTTACCATGGATAAGGAAAAGCTTAATTCAATAGAAAAATCAATTATACCAAATGTTCGTAAATCGCATCAATTTAATAATAATTACCTTAAACCTAGTCTTTAACGCGCTACTTTAATCCATATATCAGGATCAAAGAATAAATAAAGATGATTTATTGACAGATATAAAAATCCATGTCATCAAACAGCTAAGAATAGCAGTGATATGGTAGAACATAATATTATTAACATAGTTATAGTAATAATAGCTAACAAAAGAATTATTACATGAGTAGAGAAAACAACTGATAAAGGCTACAATTAAAACAGCAATAATTAAATAAATAAAAAGAGTAGTTTGAGGCACGGCCGACGCATGTAGTACGATGCATCTAAACGCGTAGATAATTGCGCACGCGGCGAGCACCGCAACGAACCAGACGAAGGCGTTACCGCGCCCGTAGAGAATCAGTGCTGAAACATTGCATCAACGCTAGATGCCAACGATAAAATGTAATCTTTAAGAGAAAGATTTACAATAGCAAGATCCCAATATCGACCAAACTTCGAGAAAAGGTCACAAAAATTATGAAGAAAAAAGCGAGCAAAAACATATTCGTGTTGTACAAAACTGATACAGATACACACAAAACTTAACGCGAAGACAAAAAACATATAGTTACATTTATATCCACGAAAAAGTTCTCACAAAAAAGTTAACTGTTGTGCACATAGAGCACAATAGCAAAAAGTCAAGGTAAAGAACTTAAGTTAAAGAGTTTAGTCGCGCTCACCGTCATGCGTAAAACAAGACGGTTGAACAAAACTCATTTCACTGTTCACAACCTGCTTCAGTCCTTAGCAAATTGCCCTTCCAAGAAGTCTAGCCGCTCATTAGCTTGCAATAATTACAAGTCAAAATGAACCAGGAAAATAAACATCCGTCTCTGTCTAACACAACGGCGGACCCTTATAAGGAGAACGTGACAAACCGATCTAGATAAACGTATCAGATGAGATCGAGATCAGAATGCGGATCAGAATAGATATTACTATTACAAACGTCTCATTATTTATTGCAAAATTTTCTTGTAACTAACAAGTAGTGTTTATTAGCTTTATAATGAGCCTCGGTTACGTAATATTGCCAAGGGTATGTTGGTTTAAAGTTTGCTAAATTGCGACGTTTTGATATCATCTGTGGTTGAGATGAAAATTTTCTAACCCATTACAAATCCTAGAATACACTTATAGCTAAACATTTCAGTAAAGTTATTACTTAACACCCATTTTTTGTTCGAAATAAATTATGGGCCGAGGATGTCTCCTTGAGGAACCCATTTATATTATCTCAAAGAGATAATAGTCAGAGTAAAACCTTATCTCAGTTACTATTATATATTATGAATATATTAAAATTGTTATAGAAACAATCGTAAACAGACTAATAAACGTTAGACATAGGCGATGTTTACAGCCTATAAACAAAAGTATTTATTAAGGCTGATGGTTTATCATTAACTTTTACCCGTTACGGGGACACTTCGTTCACAAAATAAGTACAATCATAAAACTGAAAACTATTTCCTAAGCTAACCAGTTCAGTAATAGCTTCTAACTAATATGTAGGGACTTTAAATTTTAATATTTATTTTACAACATCAGACATGTGATCCAAGTTGAGTAATATTAAATTTAATTGCAGACACAATAATTAAAGTGCTTACATTTATATCACGGCTGACTCGTAGGTATACATGCACGTCGAGAATATGGTTTCTGAAACAAAAAATACAGATTATGGTTAATAAGATGAAGATTAGACTATCTAATAAAGTATTAACTTACAAACAAACAGTACAAACTTCGATGCCTTATAAATAGTTTATTTTTCCTATAATTAATTTTAATCATAAGTTGTATATATTTAATTTACTTAGTAATATTTAGTTTTAATTTTATTTAAGTAATAGTTGTTATTTAAGTTTTTTATTGAAATACATACTTATTTCTTTAAGTATTAACTTTAATATCACAGAACATCATTGATGCTTTGTTAATTAGCACAAAACTTGTACTGTGATAGCAGTCTTAGGTCTAACTAATATAAAAGTTATTGATAGTGTAAAATTAATTAATTTATCAAGGCTGTATAATCAAAGTAAATATTTATACAATTCATAGATTTATCACCAGTTTCAATATAAAGTTGAGATCAACAAACGCTTAAATAGTGTGTCGTTCAGATAAAAACAGATTACGCTCGATTATTTATGCACGTCCCGCTGCTTACTGGTGAACGGCCTACCGCGGCCGGCAGAATCATTACGAATAGCATATCACGACAATCCGGATCAATGGCAAATTAAACTGCCATAAATGAAACATGACCACTAGTCTCAAAAAATTATTCAACAAATAGCCATAAAAATAACGTTCCAAATAAAATAATTACTCAATATGTAGCAATATTACAGCTGAGCCACGCCTAACACTTAGATCCCCAACAAATTGTACATTTAATAATAATTGCTACACAGTAGATGAGGCGATATCTTCATTACCGGCGCACAGAATCGATGCAACGATAATTACTGAGAGCCAGCATCCACCGAGACTAACATGAAATTAATTCCTGACCAAGGTTAGAGAAATAGTGCATCGCTTTATGCAGACAATGTTATTAATGACGCTAATGATGAAACCGTTGCAGCAATGATGACACAGACATACTACACAACACTTTAAACAAACTACGATACTGAACTTGAAAATGAAGATGTATTTATCTTTCGAAAAGATAACAAACAAATGTAAAAACGAAGTCGTTCAACAACATCGTTAATCACGAACGTAGCGCCACAAAGCCAAAGCTTTATCAACTTTCTGTTACACATAAATTATTTGAGAAATCTTCAAAATTTAGGTGACTATGGGATTATTATAAAAACACGTCACAGTCTGAACGGTCCAAACGCGTTATCTCGGTTCTGAGAAGCGAGATAAAAAATACTTGGTGACGAAAAGAACGCGACAACGACAACGAAGCCAAGCGCACTTTTTTTAATAAGACTGACTGTCAACAGCGTCATTATTGCGTGCTGTTTTGTAGTGATTGTTATACTCCTAAAGATCAAAAAATTTGAAACATTCAGTTTCTAGTAGTAGTAGTAATTAAAATTGTCTACGTCGATAACATTATTTTAATTGTTTGAGGAATGTAACTTTAAAATGTTAGCCAAATACTAACAATCAATGATTGAGACATCACGTGGTTATAAGTTGTAAGCATTGGTCTAATTAGCAGAATTATTTAGCGAAAGTCGTGCTGTGGGTACGAATATTGTTCTAAGAACAGTGATATTTTGTAGAATCAACACGGATTATTGTGTAATTGCGAGCAATCGCGGCTTGGTATGGTATCGATGGCTCAGAGTACAGAAACAAATCATAGCAATTTCGTGAGGCATTATAACAACGTTTTTGTAAAATTACACGTTGCGTATCCAACGCAACGTGTGTTTATGGAAAGTATGAGGCCGTCCACACACAATGTACTGTATATTATAAGAAATGTGCCAATGTCTACGTCCAAAAATACTGCCATGCTCATTAAAATTCCAGCGAGTTCCAATGATTAGTTATATGTTAATTACAAACGTTCGGTACGTTTACATTAGAAAGTAAAATTATGTAAGTGAAAAAGTAATGTTGGACAGTGTAAATATATTCAATAGATCATTAGCAATAAATGAGACAATATTGTCAGTGGGCGCGTCGGCCGTGGCGCTCGTCTCACTATCGCCGTTGCCCAAGTCATTAATCATTCGTCAGTGGCGTCCGCACGGACATAAAACACTGAGATTACACTGGCTATAAACGTTACATCACACTGTTACATGCACAGATAACTTGGATTCAAAATCATTTATTTCATTCGAGCATACCTGCCAAAACGTCTTTGAGTTTAACGAACTGATTGCGATGAATTTACTTGTTAGACTTATTAGACTCGTGGCTACGTTTAAATCAACGTTCGTAAGTATAAAATAATTGGAACAAAACAAACAGTTATTACCATAATGCAGCCCGGTCAACAATTTCACCGACTATTATAACATCCCGACACGCGACGATGATAAACTAAAATCGGAAACAACGGACAATGGGGCACTTTCGTATCTCACAAGACGCCGGCTCTAAAGACATTCCTCAGCATGACAACGTCGCAACATTCAAATATAAATAAAAAAAAGTTTATTAACGAACGCATTCAATTGTGAATTCATAGCAGGCACTCGTGATGTCATTTAACGCTTAATTTGATAGCGTATCATGAACGAGACAAGGAAACCGATGAGCTTTTGAAGGGACTCTTGACTAAGCAGTTTATTAATGAATCGGACAATCCATTTAATTATCTATTTCAATGTAATCGTACAATTCAGTCCGAAACTTAACACTTGAGAGAAAATACGGAATGAAGAATAGAAGAAGTAGCTATTTTAAATGATATGTGTACAACTGTACATGATCATATCATCGGGGCTCACGAAGTGCACCTCAACATTTCCGTGAAATTCGACATTTTCTGAATTTAATAGCAAAACTCACAAGACGCGAATGCTAAAGCAGTTTCTACTTTACTATTCGTAATTGGTAGATATAACAGTTTGCTTAAATGGGCATAGGCCATGAAACATCGGCTCTAAGTCGTCGATGTAGTTGATACCACGATTTATAATGTACTTTTACAGCGTTTTCTATTCAATTTCGTAGTGGTATACGATGTTTCAATGACAGCCGATGCATTTTGTAGCATAACAAGCGACATCGCACGTGCCCAACTAAGAACCAGAGAGTGGGTGGTGTGATTCTCCGATAACGCATTGAAGGAGAGGTCCGATTGATCGGCCGATACTTTCCTATGCCGATTGATCCATGTTGTATTGAAACGTCACTGCAGCGATACAATCTTAGCATCGTTAGAGTACCTTCACAGCCTTTTACCAACATCACTTCTGTACGTGGGGAGCCAGCCACATTAGTTATTCAAATATGCGAACTCCGACTATCTGATAGTCGTTTCAACGGGGCTTTCAAGGTATTTTCTTCAATGATACTCGTGAAAAGAGGAATAACAATGCAAGCACAATAACTCACAACATGAATAGATGGTATCCGTCAGGAGGGATATGAATATGAAAGAAAAATGTGAATATACTGAGGTCAAATATGTACAACAGCACAGAGATCATACCGTACATTCATGAGCAATGCACATGATCGTGATACAACAATAAAAACACGTGAAAGTGCCATAGTTTGACGTAGAGAGGGTGTAAAGCGTCGCGTCGCAGGCGCATCCACGGTGAACTCGAATAAAGGCTCGTTACGCGCTTGCGCTCATGAATGATGGATGGCCGTGGCCGATCAGCCAACACGCGGCGCACCACACTTTCTGAACATTTAGCTGCCACCAATGTTTCTGTTCCTTATTCTTACAACCACAAGTCTCAAAGTTCCCCACTTCTAGAAATGGTCAAGTGTAATTTTGATGTCTGGTACGTATCCATGTGATTGACAAGTCCGTGCCGATGGTATCGGTCGTCATAAATAACACCGCCACCGCTAGTTAGTGCACATTCATTGCTTTATCGCCTTCGTGAGTCGAATGGTACAATATACTAGGTTCGTTGTAAGTGTTTACCTTCGTAATGCCACAATATATTTAAAATACGACTACAGTTCCGAGAGAACATAGGTATGGAACTTTATTTTTTACATTCATTATTGTAGCTCGGTAAAACATGGGAACCAACTAAAAAGTAGCAATTTTATTATCTTGTCAAGATACCGACACTATAAAAGTGGTAAGTATTACAACACGACCACCAACATTGATGTATTCCGCGAATAAAGAAAACGTTGCCAGATTATTTGTCATCTAATTGAAATGCTTTTTGGCAAGAGAATTATTTTATTTTAGAAAACAACTGTGGTACATAGCCGCGGTAAATATTCAAATAATATATCGAAGTGAACATTTCTCAGCATTCAGCATTACACGGGACAACTACAAGAGGAATAAATATTGTAGTGACAGTGAAAGTAACCGATAGATAGCTCAACGGTGCGCGTAACGTACGGTGATATAAATTCAATTACGACACTATAAATATTATATTGCACTTCAAATATAAAGATGACATTAAAGAGAGTCAGCAGGTTTACACGGATGGCATTTCCCCGTACAATATATTACGAGAGCACGTCGGACGACGACCACCGTAGGGCCGGGACAGACGCAACCGTTACTTCGTGTCCAATAAATTCAAGAACAAACGACAGCAATAAGGAACAGACCGTGTCCAGACATCCATCTCCTGTCAGCCAGTGTACAGACTTATAAAGAGCCGCCTCGATGCGTCATACGTAAATAGCTAGCCGATAAATCAAATTCGGTAACAGTACGCACTGATCGAACGAATAAAATTAAAAGGACCATATATTGAAATACCATTTACATAATTCAAAACTAGATAGATGGTGGAGCGCATGAGACGAATGAATGACGCTATTCATATAAATCTTAGTGAAGATTCAGACTTGAAATCAATGTAAGCAATAAACATGTAAAGAACTATAAACTTAGGACTATCGTTCATGTTATTGAATAATTAGATTTCGAAAGACGGTATTGGATATTAAACGTAATTGTATGCTTCTGCTAGAATGTGGTGTAAGTTTATGATAATGTTGTGGAACAACTTTTACAACCGTAAATAATCTTTTATGATGAGTTTCCTTATTTAGTCCATTAAAGTAGTTGACATCATTTGCATCTTTTTGCTAGTAAATACTTGTATTTTATAAGCCTGAATGCTTACAATACGGCGGAGAGGCGGTACTTATGGTATCCTACATTGGTAATTGAAATTCAAAGAAGCACATGGGAAAAGGTTCTCAATGAATTAATTTTGCTATTTTATAACTGGAAAATACGTTTTACTATTCTTGCTGGACAGTTTAGTTACTATTTTCAACTAATTCATATATCGGTGACTTCTTCTATTATTTTAAATTGTAACATTTTAAGAAAGTGCACGCGCTTCCCGAGAGGCTAGTGTAGCTTGGATTTCTGAATAGAAACCATATAAGGTCTAACAAGGGACGGACCAAAATCAGGGCGATTGGGAGAGAGTCAGGCACAGCAACCACCGAGAAACAGAAATGGATCCTAAGACAAAGAATTGAATTGTACTCAATCAAAGAATATTTACGAAAAATAAGCAAATATAGAAAAACGAGAACAATGTAACAATTATGATGATGATAACCAAAGTAATTATTTAACAAACATCCAAGTTTTGACGCTTAAAATTCATCGCAGTAAAGGTCCATAAAGACCACTATGCAAAATAATGATCAGATGGAATGGAAAGACAAGGGACGCGGCAGATGGTCCAGTCCGGATGTTAGTCATACACACACGTACAAAACATTGATAGGAGTGCGAATGGAGCACTCAATAATTACAATTGAAGACTTCCCGTCGTCCGAGTCAACTCGTAAATTGATTAAATCAAATACTATAATTGATAATATCATCTTAATATGACTTGTATTGCTTGTTACGTCTAGATCTTGATCTATGAAATTGTTTTAATTGAGCATTTTTCTATTGTCATCTTGGTCACTGGAAGTGATTAGATTTACAGACGACTAAATTATCTAATGATGGTATGCTATTCTCAGTATTTAATACCGAATTAAAGAACTGTCAAGACGTGACTGCAGGAGAAAAGTTTTGAGTTTAAATCATTGCTAAACCAAGAGAAACGATAAACCAAACTCAATTTTCGCTTCACAAGGCTCGTAAATAGTTGAAAACGCCATTTCACTCACAGACATAAATCTCAAAAGACAATTTACATCAAGAACTCAATCACAGTATACCTTAGCACAAGCCTTGGGCACAACTGGGGCCATAAAGGTAGGAAATAGTATAGAATCAGGCACACATTAAGACTGTTGTGCAGTGGAATCTGAGATCGACGCCCGAGATCCGAACGTATGAAGTCACGTCAGGGCTATTAGTAAAACGGTTAAGGACTTGAAAACATGCAAGCCACACGCGAAGTACAAATGAAACGACACTTTTATTTGAATTAGATGTGTTTCAATGTCATTTTGTGTGGTTTTTTCAAAGAAGACGTATTGTTGATAACCTTTTTGTTATCGAAAAATAGATAAATAAATTTTTGAAATCAATAAAAATACATGCAAATTAAAATAGCAATGACGTTTGCAATACCCGGTAGCAGAAAATTTGAATTAACAAAATGACCTATAATAAAATTGGTCTACTTGCTTTCTTTGTAACTTTCAAAATAGTACTATGCTAGTTCAATTTATTTCGAATAGAAACCAACAAAGAACCAGATCAAAAATATAAACTAAATAGACAATAATTTAACATAAATAATTTAAAATATGCATACCCAAAACATTACGTCAGACGAAAATATGGAAAAAAAAACGGATACAATCGAAATGCTCAAGGTTACATTAGAATCGGACATCACACCAATAACTTAACCCAGTGTTCGGAGTCAAGAGGTGCACATTATTACCTATTAACGGTCATAAAACTCATAGAGTGCACGCGCCACGGACCAGACGTTACACCTACGCACACGACAAAATGCCACTGATGTAGTCCAATTCATTATTTGAATATTCACTTCTGACATTTTCGGAATGAAGTAGGTGTTTGTTTTAAATATTTATAACTGTAGTCTGTTTTTATTTTATGAGTGGGAAATAAAGTAAATAAATGGGACTTGTTATTATCCTTCATATCAAAAACTTCATCACCCTTTTCCATACATCCATCGCAACTTAGGAGACTCAATAGTCTCCTAACTTTAATGTTGGTTTTTCAATGTTTTCTATCTTTAACTCGCTGAATACCGTCATTATAGACACAATTAAAGAACAATAGGTTGCGGTCACCGGTGACCGTTCGGTGTTTGACAGTTTAAACCCTATCATATGCAATCTTCATCAAAAAATTAAAAATTTTCATTTTCTTCTCAGTAATCTTTTCTTACCAAGAAAATCATAACCACTTATTAATTAGTCATTACAACTCTTAGTCCTTTGGTCCCATTACTCTCTTCATCTGGTCCTTTATTCCAAAAATTACCCAACACTTTTACTATTCAAATCTTTTCACAGATAAATTCTCGAATAGTCTGACCATCTTGACCTAGTACTGTCTGTCAATAGTGAATGAAGAACATGCAAAAAACTTCACATTATCTGCCTTATAGGGAATAGTACACTTGTCAATGAATAGTGTATGTTATTCAATAGAAACGTGAGCAACTTTTACCTTTCAGCGCCAGTTAGGACCACTACGGAGACTACCATGTTTTATTTATAACTATTCTAAAGTGTGGTTACCTATTTTTATCTTAGTTTTATAGCGTTGTAAGGTCAACTTTTTTTATTTATCTATAACTAGCTTCTACCCGCGACTTCGTACGCGCAACCCCGTTTTATCCCGTTCCCGTAGGATTTTTCAGAACTTTTTCTGTCATAAGAACCTTCTCCTGACAATAATAAACACTATAAAAAAATCAGGCAAATTGGCCGTTCTCAAGTTATGGCGTGACAACGGGGAACGGGTTTCATTTTTATATAGCAGGTAAGTTAGTATTAATTAATCATTAACAATCTCTTTCCTGTAGGCATAGATATAGATGTCCTTTTAGTACACTCATATGTTAGTTTAACTATTAGTCCCTTTATAACAACGATTGAACTTATTTATGAAACAGCGGATACTATTACTCGTCGAGTACCGGTTTTGTAGACACAATTATAGAACAATAGGTTGCGGTCACCGGTGACCGCTTGGTGTTTGACAGTTTAAGCTCCGTACTTACTATTGTAGTACCGAAGGAATTTTCTACTTTACCCAACTTAGTATCAATCTCTTAGATTTCCAGTTCAACAGACTTGTAACCAAATAACCAACATTATTGTAAAACTTAAAATATTACTGTTTAATGTCGTTATGCAAAGAAAAGCAGTTTTGAATGGGCCATCATTGGTCATAAAACTAAGTAGAAGCTACTAGTAGTTTAACGATCGGCAATATACGTAGTAATATGCAATATTATATGGTGGAAGATGCGGCAACTGAGCGCCTACGCATACTTCTAAGCGCTCATATTTTTCTAGCACTGCCATAATCACATTTTCCTTTTAAGTGCAATGATTTATAGATTCTATTTTGTAAGGTGCAAGTCCGCTTACTACGCCAGGCAATTATCGCCCCTCGGTTTGGCCAACAAGGTCTACTCCTTTTGGAACTCTTAACTAAAGCCAAATGAGTGTTGCATATATGTCCCACTCTTCCGGAGAATAAATTACATTATGAAGACTAATTGCATTTTTAAAATTAGAAGATTCGATAATGAGTATTTGCCTTAACAGAAATATTCTTAACGAAATATTTATGCACACTGAATGTAATTAAACCCCTATCAGTGAAAATCAATTCACTAAATTGGTTTTGTGTGTAAACTTACAAAATATGTATGCAAACATCTTATTAGCATTAAAATCAGCTTCCGAATTCATCTTAAAATCATTTACATGTCCTAGCTGTTTCTAAGAGTCATTCAAATTGTTTTGACGTGTTATTGTATAATAGACAATGATGTATTCTGGCGCCGTACCATTGTCATAGTTTCCACAGATATCTTTTGGGACATCGTCAAGATATTACACGTAATGATTGCCTTCATACTTCACATGGCACTTGGAACCTACGGCTACGTGCGTACAAAGTACTTATTCAAAGTTTCATCATCGACTGTCCTCTTTTATTTAAGTCATTTATAATCTTCATTTCAGTTTACTTATGCTTTAGTTATGTTTTGAAATGGACCTCAAAAGGACCATTTTAAGTTTCCAAGGTAAGACAAAAGCGTGAAAGTTTTTCTTCAAAACTGAAAAGGCGGCAGTTGGCGCTTGCGTGCCTGAAGCTCCGCCCACAAAGAAGCAACAAGTATAAAGTGCGGTTTTAATAAAAAAACTTCTTGAATAAGTATAATAAAACGTTATCAGTAATAATACTCCACGCTTCATAAGCAACGTTATCGGTGTCTCTAAAAAGTCCGTACAATTTGTTACTGTTATCATTTATTAGAAGGAACTTTTTATAACTTTAACATAAATAAATACATATTATCAGACCGCTTCGACAGATAACTTACTTGTTACCGAATAAATTATCACGTTGGCGCAAATATCCAAAACACAGCAGAAAAAAAATCACAACAACAAAAAATAATTTTAATGACATAAACTTACTTTTTTCTGCAAAATACTTGTGATGACTCGTGTAGAATAGAACAAAAAGCAAACGTAAACACCCAAAAGTTATTCACACAGCACTCAGTTCATAAACACTATACGTAAAAACATGAGACATGCGATGAAAGCGACAAACGTGCGCACCCGATGACGTCTCAACGTGGAATGGTATCTTGATGATGGTGAGGCGAAAGACCGGGGTGCGGCAAGGAGCGCGGGACCCGAGGCAGGGTGGGCGTGGCTTCGCAGGTGTATCAAGTCGAACCATGATATATGCGCATGTTAACACTTGGATACGAACACGCCTCACTGTCACGTATGGAACCGAATTGTTGGGCCAATGTTTAATTGTTTATTTGAAGGCGAAAGTGTAATACACTCGAGGATTCATTAATAATACAATACTTGACAGTTTCGTCTTTTAAGTGGCCGGCGTCAGGCGTCTCTGTACACTGACACTACGATCACAGTTGAGATAAAGTCGTAGAGATAAACTAATAGTGATTATATTATTTCATCTCGTTTTTAATTGCTGTTGTTCATACCGTTATTGTCATTAAGTGATAATATGATGAGGCACTAACAAATGCTTGTTATCATTATACTTATTTTTTAATAGTATCTACGCGTACTAGCATCGTCCTTTACAGCAATAAAAACATAAGTCCTGACAGAGATGATTGATTCTTCACAGCATTGTAGAACAAAGTTCTTCACTTCACGTATTTATTTATAAGCAGCCAGTCACTATCGCATAAAACGCAGCCCACTTGTAATTACCGGGTAACCTTCAAGCGCGATTTCTTCGAGTCGCAGGATCGCTCGTGTAAACACGGTGTTGGCATTAGCGGCCTGCAATTGCGAACCAGTGGTGAACTATAACTCTTGTTGACGTCTTAATAACAAGCATCCCTTCCGTCAGTACAACCCAAGATTTATCGCCACTGCGATTGCTCCAGCCGCACTTACAGCCACCAAAACCCTTATCACCAACACCATAAAGCTCAAAATCCTTAAAGTGAAATCGCAAAATAATTATGAATCAGTTTTAACATCGGTAATACAATAATTTTAGAAGTTATCGTTCAATTTAGAAACTTAATTAAAGTCGCAATATACCGTAATTGCCATGTAGGGACTGAATTATTTTAATTGGTTTCTCTTGGCTTGGTACGCTAAAATTTGCGTTAACTTTTCGGAATTAATATCTACAAAAAAATCTTATTTCCATAGCCTGGAGAAGGCAAAATACCAGGATTGCAAAGTATTTTTATCGGACTAGAAAATATTAGAATTCAAACAGAACAGTACAAGTCCGCAAGAAATCTAACGTGTAGATAGTAAGGATAAATTATATTGAACTAAAAATAATAATTCCCTTCAAAATAATTAGCATTGCAGCAATATGTCAGCTCACTCAAAGTCCTATAATAATTGCGAGCTCGTTCGCGCCTCGCTTAATTAACTCATAACTCAAACTCGCACTTATCGACGAGGTATATCGAGCAATCGCCCACAGAGGTAAGCTGCGAGCGAAAAATCGATAAATAAATCGCACATAATCGATATGCCAAAATTGTGATTACGTGCTATGTTAGTAATGACACACATTGGTAAAATGTCACAACAAAAAAGGGATATAATTTTCTGTGGGTATCACAGAAAATTATTTCTCTTTTAATTCAATCTTTTACGGAATAAGTATGAATTATCCTCGCTTTGTTCCTTAACACGACTTGTCAAACTTGTGGCCAGCCAGCAACTGGGTAACTGGGCACGATGGTGTTATTTTCAAGCCGCCGTAAAGCGTTCAACGTAAAGGACTAAAGGGGAGGCCTTTGTTCAGCAGTTCTTCAGTCTTCCGGCTATTGCTGATGATGATGATGAGTAAAGCGTATGTCCTTCTCTTTATTGAGCAGTGGGCATGTCTCTATTCATGATATTGAGTTTCGATTTGTGTAGAAGAAGCTATTACGGACTATAAAACTGGATATGATTGAAACTGAACACAAATTACTGAAAATTTAACATGTACTCAAAACAAACACAACTCCTACCTTATTTAAACGCAAACAAGAATTATTTACATTCTAAACACACATTATAATCACACATAGGCAATCGTGAAAGGTTGCACGTAAATAATCAGCTGATACGGTGATTTAAATACCAAACAATAGTACATAGACATTAAATCTTGCAGTTTCACAATACATACAGCCAAAGAAGCCTGAGACAATAACGGCCTAAACAATGTAAACTATATTGACATTTGAGAAATATTATTTATTTAGGAACACTGTAACGAGCACCGCAACATAGATACAGCAGTAATTCCAACAATTTTGTAAATTACTAATGATGAGAACTGGAATTTTCGTAATCCTTCTTTGTATCCAATAGCTACTTGTACAAGATTACCCATACAATCCGATAGATGCCAACTACTAGAGGGGCCACACGAACATATTGCATCACACCTTTTAAGACTGCCAATAAAAATAATTTACATTCAATACCAAACTACCAAACCCGCAAATTATACAATCAATAAATCACTTTGATATATACAAATTACCGCTAGAGATTTCACTTCAATTTATAATTATTTTGTTTTCTCTGTGATTATTGCTATTAATATAATTATTTACATGTAAACGTCGCAAGCGCATACAGATGGTAATGACCGGCTGCGCCAACGCATCGCGCAGGTGCAATAATATAGTACGGCGCAGCGCGCGGCGGCGAGGCGTGGCACTGCGTTGATTGATAGCACCAAAATTTTATTCACTATTGAACGTCCAAACACAAATAATGACCCTGCCCTACATACAAATTTATTTTTTAGTTAAACAACTTGAAATATCTATTCCTATTATTGAATTAGACTTTACACAACTAATAGATGTTTGAAAAATCTATTTTCACGTTTGGTGTCGTGTACAAATTAATTTAAAGTACGGTGTCATGTCATAAATCAACTAGTATGGCTTTATTATAAGTTAATCAGCTTACATATGCCTTTTCCCATATTTCTCGTTGTAACACAATACGAAAACAATTTTATTTGATAGTTCGCTTGACACCGTGGCGGCTCTCAAGAAGATATAAAGATAAGCATCGCATAACTAATATGGATTTCTTAACTTTCCAGCTTCATCTGCGTCTATATGGCGCACAATTACATCGGCATAATATATTGAAATGAAAGCGCGTGCGCGCCCATTCGCAGTGAGAGACCGGCCGTACCCAGAAGTAGTATCACGCAACGCCGTTTATAATTCAACAACAATAAACAGATAGTTAATTGCGATGCTGTCACGGGCGCAGTATATGGTAATGAGGCGTAGGGATCGCGGCTGCATGGACAATATCTCTCGACGGTGAAAGGTAAGACGGTGACGGCGCAAATGTTAACAGTAGGCGTGAAAACTTAGGGGTTGCTTTGTTAAACAAAGCATATAATAAAGTAAGCCAAGAAAACATTTAGTAAACTGAAAGATACGACACTGACTGACTGCTACAAACGAAAGAAACCACCAAATACTTGAAAATATTAAACAACTTCAAGAGGTCTAAAATAAATTAACAAGGTTTCGACGACGAATGTTAAAAATCCGTTAAAAATTAAGCTACACCTCTCTAGTATAATAATTACATCTCATGAGAATCCAAACACCAATTTCGAAAAAAAAAAAACAAAAAAGGTAAAGAACACATCAATTACCGCCAGAATGTTCAACTTGAGCCATACAAGCATAGTGTTTGCTTAGCCCATGGCCCGTGTCGGTGAGATAGGTGGTGTACATGCGCTTTCAGGTACGCCACAATCTGAGTAGCTGACACCAATAGGTTTTTATCAGCACCCATCGGGGTTATGAGAAAGTTATCGAGAGAAGCTGCAGTTGTTATTAGGGCTTTAGGGCTAGAGGATGCACTTGCCACGCATGCTCAGATATTCACCGTATGTTGAATAATATTATACAGAAGCATATATTGAAACTAAGACTGTTTTAAACGAAATGAGATAAAAAGGTGTGCCAATATGCAATCACTAAACAAATGACCAATTATGAAAATCTTCATGCATAAGAAGAATTCAGTGAGAATTTATGTGGCTTTCTGAAATATGACCCACTTCTGACAATCTTTTAAAGACAACTTAGGCTTTATTTGATGAACAAAATAAGGATATAAAAGAAAGTAGACATAATGGAAGCAATAAGCAATGCCTATAAATAAGAATATAGGTAACGAACGTCGGTATGCACTGCCACACCGGACAGCGATAGTAGAGCAGTCGATGTATTATTTATGAGAAAATAAATTACATGTGCTCGTAAATATAGCACATAGCTCAAAGACAATATATCGACAACAAAATAATGAGACAATGTACTAAACATTGATATATTGGTTAAAACTAGGCAGGAAGGAGTAAATCAAAATTAAGTACACCATAAAATCACTAATAACGCCTTATCTGGTCATCTAAGTAATAGTAACTTCAATGTAGACAATTACTAGTTGCATGATTAATTATTTCCTTATTTACTTATGAGAACAAAAACAAGCTCAAACATGAATTAGATGAGTGGGACCTTGGACCACTAATAACTGGTTGAAGACAAATTAAATGTCAACTTAATTGATGCCTGCAAACTTTATTAAACCTGAAGCTAACGATAATTTTAATTATTGTGTTTTGATCCCATGTTGGCGTGATATTTTATCATTTATTCAGTGTTAGAATTATCATTTTCCAGTACCTAGACGTCACATCCTTATTTATGTTATTCAACAATGCAAAACAACAGATTTGGTTTAGCAAAGTCATTTCGGAAAATAGACACATACTGATTACCAGAGAAACGAACCCAATACTTAAAAAAGATAAACTAAAACATAAAAAATACTCTAAAAACTTATTTGTTGAGTTAAAAACATTCCATGTTCGCTTCAAATATTTTCTCGCAGCAAAATGTTGCCCCGCAAAGTCGTTTTCATTCCCAGGCATTTATAACCGAATGAATTTTCTATATAGACCGGATTTCTTGAAACGAGGACGGAGCCCTAACGATCTAAAATCACAGTGTTGAGCTTCAGCGACATTTACAGAACATTATGTAGGTAACACATAGTGTTGTGCACGGAATCTAGTAACGAGTAAACGAATA